TGTAATACAACCTGTTTCTGTATTCAAAGCCTAAGTTTGCTCTAACTGCATATGTTTTCAAGCTATGATGTTGAACTGATGGATTGAACATTCCTAATTACTGCCCTCACATCGTACTTCAAGACAAGGAATACATTGGCTGCATTCATTCTTTCTTCCCTTAGCATTGGCTGCTGACCAGTTCAATCTCTCTTCAACCCCTAAATCTGAATTGAGTGGAAAGGTCTCATAGCACCTTATCCTTTTTGAGTCTTCAGTGAGTCGTCTTTTGGATCTCACCCAACAACTCTCTTCAATAATCTTCTCCAGACTTGTCCTTGAACCAACAAGACTTCAGCACTATAACACTACGAGATGCAATATAGATGCACAAGCCAATATTACAAATTTTACAACTCAATTTTTCCACAACAATCACTATCTAGTTGTATCTTAGGTGTTAGCCATTACACCTCTCTCCATTAAAATCCTTTTTTCATTTTTTCTCTTTCTTTTTTTAAAGAACTCCACTTTTGGTGTCTGCTCAAAAGCCCCTCCTTCCCCATGAAATTCTCCTATGAGAATTTCTACTCTTAGCTTCTACTTGCCTATTACTAAAATTAACTGTTTGCTTAGGGTTGTGGCTAGACGCAGACCATCCCAATAACCTTTCCCTATTCCTAAGGAAGAAGAATTTCCACTACCAATAGTGTGTCTACAGTTGTAATCAGTGGATTTTCTGGCACTGGAAATTGTCCTTCCTTAGGACTACTAATCAGCGGCAAATGCTGGACTATGACTGTACCTCTGATTGACATGAATCTTGTAGACTGACTGTGATTTCTATAAACTTTGTTCAACTATTGTCTTGATGGTCAGCTGGCATCAATTTCCATCAAACTGCCTCTGTGGGAAATGGGAAGCATTTCTGCTGAAAGTCGGCTTATCTTTCTGAATTCTTTCCATTCCAGCTGGTTGTTGCAGTTTCCAGTATTTTTTGTTAAGAAATGCTGCCCTGTTTTGTTTTTCCCTTTTCATACTTTTTTTAAAATGTAGCATCTTTAGATTGAGAAAGCAGGGGCTGTTTCACTTTTTGAGGTGGAGGTTAATATATTGTGGGGTCTCAAAAATGGTATTTGTCCATATTTTCTCCTGTCGTGCTATTTCCTGAGTCTTGGCAAGTCCCAGGATTTCTTTGCAAAATATATTTTTCATGCATCCCTCCCAATCTTCTTTGATCTCTCTCCTTCTCTTTCTCTCTCCTTCTCCCTCTCCTTCTCCCTCTCTTTCATCACAAATTTAGACATGCCCAATTTTTAGGGAAAGCACTGGTTGCTGTTTGGACTGCTTACCCAGATAATGGCTAATTTCAGGGTGCTGCCTGAATGAAAATGTTGTTTATAGTTTACGACACTAAGATCTGTCAAACTGAGGATTTATTAAATCACTAGCTTTGTATACAGAGGATGCTAACTACAGGTGCACTATCTGGATACAATGCTGGGGATAAAGCCAGCATAAAAAAAAATTCCATGTTTATCTTTGGATTTTCAGAGGCATCCAGTTGAAGTAATCCAGAAATGTTATTCTGACAACTCAACAAAAATTATTCTTGCGATTTAACTGAGAATAGAGCTATTGTTATTAGAACTAATCATGACTAAGACCTTCAAGGCTGTTTCCTCTTGCCAGTTATCATTGTATCTTTAGATTGAGTTCCAAGAAACACCACTCCTATCTCACTTTTAACTTTAGCACCTTCTTGGTTAGCTGTAAAAACTCATAAACTTTCTTCTAACAGGGAAGTAAGATACTTAGACATATCTCAGTACATGGATAGTCAGCTAAAGCCACACAATTTGCAGATGGAATTAAGGATAACTTTCTCTTCGCTGTCTTGAGCACAAAATCACAGAACTCCAAGGTTGTCAGTCATGTCACTGTAATTGTGAAATGACATTTTCATAACAAATTGTAATAAAAAATCATAACAAATGCTAGTTTATAAACACTTTTGAGGAGAGATAATACAGTTTTCTTAGCTGTTAACTGTAGGCATATGGATCTGAATCTGTATGATGTAGTGCAGAGGTCCCCAACCTTTTGAGCATCAGGACCGGTTCCATGGAGAGAGGTTTTTCTGTGGACCGGAGGGGGCGTGGTTTCATGTACTGCCTGCATCCCGCGGATGGGGCTTTGCTTGTTTGCACGGACCGGTTTCTGGCATGCCACAGACCAGTGCCAGTCCATGGGGACCCCTGATGTAGTGTCTCTCTGTGTGTATGTGAATAGTTTAACAAAATAATTTCTTCTAGGCACATTTTCAATTGCACTGTGATATAATTGCTGTGATCAGAGGTAGCTCCAAATCACACAGAAGACTGTTTAGGAGAGAGTATTGTGGGATTATGGCAATGTGACTGTCTGACCTGAAGATGCCAAGTGATCCCACACAGGATATGCACGTGAAGACAAACAAACCAATATTATGTTATTAATTATCACTTTTTATATTTCAGAGAAATGGTGCCCTGTTTGGAAACCATATCAACCATGTTAGCACTGATACAAGGGATTCATGTCAACAGATCAATACTACACATCGCCCCCTGCATGTGCAAAGGCCACTGGTTTCATGTATGGTGGACACAACTGAGAAAAATGTGCATCCACCAACAGGAAACTCTTTATTCCATAATCATCATAGCCATCACAACCACAACTCAGTAGGGAAGCACGTTCCAAACTCCACAAATGCTAACCTCAATAATGCCAACATGTCCAAGATGGTTAACAGAAAACATGCAAGCACTGGAAGTCATGAACATATGTCGGAAACTGAGAGCCATTCATACTCCAGAAAAGATCACGGTGAACAACGTAGACGATCATCCAAAAGGAGGTAAATCCTGATATATTTTTATAATGCAAAGTAAAATATTACATTTGCTTGAAAATGCCAATCCTCAGGTTACTTTTTTTTAACACCTTGAACTATTATATTTGATTATCTAATTTATTCATTGTCTAGTTTAATTTTAACATAATTCCTTTGATCTGCTTGATTAAGTTGTAGCTTACAAGCCAGTTTACATTTTTAAAAAAATCAACTAGTATCATTATTTGGGCCATGCAATTTATTTATTTATTTTATTTAGATCCTGCCCTTATTATTTTTATAAACAAAGCAGCAAACATACTTAATATTCCTCTTTCCTCCTATTTTCCCTTCAGCCATAGCCTGAGATAGAGTGACTGGCCCAAATTTACCCAAAGGCTTTCAGACTAAGGAGGAATTAGAACGCATGGTCTTCCAGATTCTAACATGGTGCCTCAATCACTAGACCAAACTAGCTCTTTATTAGTCAAATTAATATAATCAGATAAATTCAACAACATTAACAGTTAGATTGTTGCATAATTAGAAAGTTGTCTAAAGAGGATAAGCCAAAAAATCAATTAAGACAAATTGTTGCTTCTTTCTTTCATCATAGTAATTTATGAATTAATTCCTGTGCGAAAGTTTGGGTAAATACATTTATACAAATGTATCCATTGATAAGTACAATGTAACATTTACTTTCTCATCATTTCATTAAAATTCATTATACTTTTTTTCTCCATATTCTTTTCTTCTAATAGAGCTCGTTATTATGAAACTTACACTAGGTAAGTATATATAAGGTCATAGCATGGAAAGTAGCACTTTATGCTTCAATAAAACTTACTGAAACAAATCATGTAAGCCTTTTTCAGATGTTATCTTCACAGATGATGTTGAAGTATGAAACTAAGAGCTAAGGCCTTCAACATAACATATGATATGAAAATAGCTTTGGCCCATATGCTGAGCATGAACATTGAGCGCTATGCATGAAAATCTCCATGCAGTCCTGAATAGCTGTATATACAATTTGGCTTAGCTGTAATTGGAATGCACACTATTAGGACTAGATGCACACTATTAGGACTAGAATTGCAAGACTGCCTGTTGGCCTTATCAAAATACTGGAATTGGACTTTAACCTACATTTTTATGAGGTATACAGTTAGGAAGGAATGTCACAGTGGTACAGGATGGCATCTCCAAATAAGGCTGGAAAATTCATGTCCGAAATTATATAAACCATTTTTTCAGCAGAACAAACAAGTTGGACAAATGGTTTGACGCAATACAAGGAACTTCCTAGGCATTCCAAACCATTTTGCATGTTGATGTTTTTAGAAATTATGCAGAACACTATGGCCCTTCTAGAACTAGGTTAAAATAAGTAATTGTCGATAACTTCATGTTTCTACCACTGATTTATATTTCCCTTGCGCCTATCAGAATGTCCAATAGACAACACTATGTTTAATTTCCTCAGCTCCCTGTAAGAGGCAGCCAATTTACTGAAATTGGAAATAGAATGAAACTGCAGCATAGATTTCTTTCACTTGCCATCACTGGAGAGCTATGTGTGGGGAGCTATAAATCAAATTAATCTAGAGGGTAATATCCACCTCCAAGTCCCAACTGTGTTTTGAAAAAAGAAAAAAAGTAAGGCCAAATAAATAAATAGGCAAAAGGAGAATACAGTTTCTCAGTGGCCTGTCTCAGGGGTAGAAGTCCTCAACCTGAGGAGGCCAGGTATGTGAGCTTTCTGATAGATTCTTATCAGTGGTTGAATTTGTTCTTTTCGGAAGGCATTCAGTCTATAGGACCCTGGTGGCGAACCTATGGCACGTGTGCCACAGGTGGCACGCAGAGCCCTCTCTGTGGGCACGCGCACCGTTGCCTCAGTCCTAGGCCTTCAGCTAGATTTTATAAAACCTTTTTGCTTTAGGCCTACGCCGCCGTGTGCCAAAAAAAAAACAAGATTCAATCAATCAATCAATTTCAACTTCTTGCGGGGAAAAAAAAGATCTCGCAAAGTTGGAATTGATTGATTGAACATTTTAGTCCCACCCTGTCTGCTGTTATCACTGAAGCCACGCCCACCCAGCACTTGACAATACATAAGTGGGTTTTGGGTTGTAGTTTGGGCACTCGGTCTCTAAAATGTTCGCCCTCACTGCTATAGGAAGTGTAGTGAAGTTTACTTGATTATACTATATGCTCTTGACTTTTGCTACAGATGGTCTCAATTTACAACCATTCACTTTGTGATCATTTGAAATAATAATGACATTGAAAAAAAGTGACTTACAACCATTCCTCACACTTACAATTGTTACAGCATTGCCAGAGTCACATGACAAAATTTGGGCACTTGGTAAATGGCATGTTGCAGCATCCTGGGGACACGGGATCACTATTTGCAACCTTCCTAGCCAGCTTCCAACAAGCAAAGTCCATGGAGGAAGCTGGATTCGCTTAATGACACATGATTCAGTTAACAGCTGCAGTGATTTGTTTAATAACCTGGCAAAAATGTCATAAAATTGGGTATGACTCACTTACCAGCTGCCTCGCTTAGCAGTAGAAATCTTGATCCCAGTTGTGGTTGTAAGTCGAGGACAATCTATATATGTTTTCAGTATTTTTTTCAACCTGACTTTTGTTCGTTTAAATCCTTTTATTTTAGCAGTTTTATTTCTTGCTAATTGGATTTGTGAAAATATAGGGAGGGAAGGATTTACATAAGTGTTCATATATAAAAAGTAATAAAAATATCTCTCTGCTCTAACTGCAGGTCAGAATCGGGTGACAGACATTTACCTACAATTTGTCGAGAAGATCGTGCAATTAGAGATTATTATAGTGATGATTGCTATCTGGATGATCAAGAATATTTTAGTGGTGATGAGTATTATGAAGAAGACAGTATGTTGTCAGGAAACTGGTAAGTTTAAGTTTCATTAAAAAAAATAATGTAGCAGTTGTTGTACAGCAGAGATGAGGTTCTTCTGTAACTTTAAATAGCTTATTTAGCCAGATGTTTAGCCTGGATTTGGCATTTTTATCCACCTATTGAGTCCTTCCCAAGGACCTGGGATAGGCAGATATTATTATATAATGGTGTTAAAGGATTGCAGGATGTAAGCTGTTCCAAGTAAAGCTGCCATTTGTAATTGACTGGTAGTGATTTTGTCAATGCTGATACTGTTTAAATGCTACATCAAATGTTTATGGATTCCACCCAAGGTACCAAGGTACCTATTACTATTGGTATTACCTTTGCTTATTTTTGCCATAGTCATTTTATTTCTGTTTGCAGAAATTTTCTCCAGTTGTTTCTCTTCTACTGATTGCAGCTATTGCCACATCCACTCTCCAGACTTTGGGGGGGGGGGGCTTTCTTATCTGGGATATTATGTAGCAAATGCCTGTCTGTTTGAATGGTAAAGTCCCAGAACACTTTAGGTTCTTCATTTTCTATGACTTTTTCTATTTTATGGTCCTGTTAGGTTTTGCTTGCAGGCAAATATTATTTCTTGCAGATATTCCAATACATCATTGTTGCTACTTTTTCATGCCATTGTTTGTAGTCAATCTACATGATCTTCTTGCAGTAGCTAACTAAGTGAGCCACTTTAGCTTCTTTGCAGAGTGGCATTTGCTGTGTCTTCTTGTCTTCTCAGTTCTGGCTTTGTATGGGGGCGGAGAGCGGGGACCCACTCAGGATATCCTTTAATACCATTATATAATAATATCTGCCTATCCCAGGTCCTTGGGAAGGACTCAATAGGTGGATAAAAATGCCAGATCCAGGCTAAACATCTGATTGAGTGTGCAATGAACCATAACAGAATTCTATTATCAAACAGGAAATAATAGGATAAGAAAGAGAAAATGGGAAATAATGGATCAGCAAAGAATGGTAGAAAAGTGCATCTTATACTAAATTTCGTGTTTCATAATAGGATATAGAAAAGAAAAATGTGATTATTCATTTACTGTTGCTAGTTGTTGCTTTTCTTTTTTTACAGTTTTACATGTCTATAATATTAGAGATATTTAATCTCTAATCTCTTAATGATGAGCTATCACACTCTGTCTTAGCCTGGTTTTATTCTTTAGTCATGAATTGTTGAGAATAATTTTCATTTCAAATAACAAAATGGCTGCAACCATGGTATAATTTGATTCTTATGTTTTGGTGATGCTTGGGAATTGATACATATTCTGCAGTAGATTATTTTATCAAAGTCATTGAACATTTTCATTTCACCAGCGCAATTTTCTCTATTTCCTTTTTAATCACTGATCAATCCAGTTTTCCCAGTGATACCATTTGTGTGTTGTTTTAAAAAGTGGCTTATCAAATTTCCAGTGTATTTTATGAGTTCCTAATTTAGAAAAATAGGATGCTTAGAACTGGAGTACAGTATCTTGTAATCTCTAGGAGAAGGAATTTCTTACAATAAGTACTAGTTACAAAGTTGCAGGATAGAAAATAGAGCAAGATCACTCAAAGTGTAATGAATTAATTACCAAAGTTCACTTCCCCCCACTATCCTTCTCTAAGATCCTCTCACTTGTATTTAAAAATAGAAGATTTACTTTGAAATATAAACCTAACCACAAAATAAATTTACTGGAGAATGAGTTGATTGGTATAAATAAACCAATTTAATGCTCTCCAGATGTATTCATGGTCAAGATTTAAATATTCAGTTTGTGCATTCCTGGTCAAGATTGGTGGGAAATTCTGGAAACCTGACTGAGAAGCCATGTTAGATATCAATCACTACTGTTGTTTAAAAATTACTTCAGTGGGGTTGGTTGGTGGGGTTCATATTTTTGGGCACGGTACAAATTATGGGAGCCCTCAGTTTTCTATGGTGATCACTACCAATTATCTGTTTCTTTACCCTTAGGCATTCTCATGACTATCATAGCACATATCATTGTAATGATTTAGATTTTGAACGGCCAAAGGGTTATCACCACCCACATGGTTTTTTTGAAGAAGACGACTCACCAGTGTATTATGATTCAAAAAGATCTCCTAGGAGACGGCTGCTACCTCCAACACCTACATGTGAGTTCACTGCAAAAGCTGGCTTCGTGGATGTGTTTGCTTTACTATTAGACCCATGTATATTCCTTGCCTATGCTCTAAAATTTATTTGATTTATATCATACAAAGGGATATCCCAGTGAACCAAAGAGAAAGGAAGCAAGGGTTTTTTTTGTTGCTTCCTGTAGCTTCTCATGTCCCCTTTTTATAGCTGAGGACCACTGTTGGATTTCGTACACAATTATAATAGAAGAATGAGCTCATTCACGGAAAAACAACATTATCAAGAATTATATCTGGATTGCTTACAATAGTTGCCATTTCCCCAAACTACTGGAAATGTGTCTTTAAGTTTCTCCAACAGCCAAAACTAGAGTTGATACATACTTTCATTAATTCAGATGACTGCAATTTAACAGTTAATTTTGTTTAACAAAATAGCAGAACTCCACAGAGAAGTCTTTCAAAAATGAGAGAACTTAATAACTAAAAATGCAGACAGCCCACAATAAATACCTAAGTTAATATTAACTTCGTAAAAATATATATTCATAAATAACAAAATAATTGCAAGATATAAGACTGTGTCATGGTGTGACTCTAGCACTTCTCTGCAATATCTATAAGGAGCCAAGCCTTATCTGAAAAAAAAAAATCATAGCTGCTAAAAAGGTGCTGCATGCAGGTGCTACGTTCACATTTCCTCATGTTCTACAGCAGGTTTTCCCAACCTCAGCAACTTTAAGATGTATGGATTTCAACTCCCAGAATTCTCCAGTCAGCACGTTACCACATTGCTGCACCGCCTGATAAGCAATGCAATGCACCGCCTGATAAGCAATGCTTTAAGGTGTTAGTTACCACCTTTAAAGCGCTCCATGGCATAGGACCTGGCTACCTCCGAGACCGCCTTCTGCCACAGATTCCCTCCCATAGACCGGTACGCTCCCACAGAGTGGGTCTCCTCAGGGTGCCGTCGGCCAAGCAATGTCGGCTGGCGACCCCCAGGGGGAGGGCCTTCTCTGTGGGTGCCCCTGCCCNGCCTGGCCTAGGGAGGATTTTTAAACTGGGTTTTTTAGAAATTTTAACTATCACAACACAAAAATTTTGGTTTTAATTTGGTTTTATTCGGTGGGGTGTGTGGGTCTTTCTTTGTTTTAATAATGTTGTGAGCCGCCCTGAGTCCTTCGGGAGAAGGGCGGGATATAAATTGAAATAATAAATAAATAAATAAATAAATTCAAATGGACATTTGTAAAATAATGCTTAAGACACAACAATAACCCTGTGAAGCAGGTTGGGATGAGGTTGGGATGAGACAGGCAGAAACAGAGAGTTTCTGGTCTAAAGTCACCTAAATGGCTTTCATGCCTAAGCAGGGTCTAGAATTCACAACCTCCTGGTTTCTAGACCAGAAACCATACGGATCACATGAGCACAAAGCTCATTCTTTAGAGTTTGAGGAAAACCTTTAGTTCTCCCTTACATATTAAGGAAAAGGAGGAGAAAGAGGGAAGCATGTAAGTTATCGTTCTGAAACACAGGTGTTGCAATTTACAGAGATTATAATGATTAGAAATCTGATTTTCATAGAAGCCTGACCTATACCTTACTCAGTCTTACATCACTCACTCCTGCGTCGCTTTTGATATTCAGTAAAGGCATAAACATTTCTGAGAAATTAACACTCTTTAGCAAGATGACCTGATTTGTATTAGATAGAGATCTAAAAGTAGTGATATCCTCTTCTATAAGGTGAGATTAAAAGTTGAAACTTCTTGATAACCTAAGCTGTGAGGGCAAATAAGAGTCGAAACTTCCTGATAACATAGGCTGTGAAAGCAAATAAGAGGCCCAGGAAGGGGAAAAAAAAACACCATTCCCTGTGCTTCTACCTCTATATAGCTTCTACCTCTAATGGATGCAGTAATTAACACAGCATCTCATTTGTGCTCCCCAACACTCCAGTACTTCACAGATTGGAATTTGGTGGCTGAATGTCTGATGGCACGATCTTGCTTGTTTGCTTCTGATGTCTACAAAATTAAGAATGTAAATAACAATGCTGTAAAAAGTCTCTGTGAGCCAAATCATTCTCTTTCCTTCCCTTAACTCTCCCATGACCATTCCCCCACCAGAACAAAATTGAACTGCTGAAATACAGTAGTAAGATGACCACGTTTCAGTAGCACCAATTTTAAAGCCTAGGAGACTCAGAGTGAGCATCAGAGCAAGAACCTTCTGGAGGGTGAACAACTCCATTCCCACCAGTAATTAACCTCTCACATACCCATACAAGTATAAAGCAAGAAAATTTAGGCTTTGGTCCTCCTGGACTATCATCTTGTTACCAGTGTGATCACCTGCAGTAAACCAGTGGGCCACAATGTCTTATCATGAAGGTCATGGTTGTCCCAAAGGTGCTTTTCAAAAGGCAATTGGATTTTCTTGGGCATTTTCCTTGAAAATGTTTCGCTTCTCATTCAAGAAGCTTCTTCAGTTTGAACTCTACCTTAACAGGTTAACCGAACTGCCCCTATGATAGCTCTATAAAGCAGTAACAACCCATTCCACCTTTTCATATTTCAGCCAATCGCCGCTCTTCCTTTAATTTTGAATGCCTCCGCAGGCAGAGCAGTCATGATGAATTACCACCTTCCCCTACCTTTCATCAACGCACTGCTTTACCTCTGCATTTAATGCAACAGCAGGTAAGTGAAAGCAAACTGTACACTTACCTTTAGCTGCATAGTTTTGTAATGCTGTTTTGAAACTTGCTGATACAGGTAATCCTCCGGTTATGACAGCAATTAGGACTGCTGCCACTAAGCAAAGTAGTTGAAAAGTCCAGTGTCAAATCACTGCATTATTTAGCAATGGCAATCCTGGCAGTCCTGGTTGCCATCGTGACAGCAAGATGCATGGGTTGTTAAGTGGGAAGCAGTGGGAGTTCCATGTTTGGACTGTGGGGTGCAGTGGGAGGGGGATACCATCGGGGGAATGGCTTGTGAGACTCAGTGCACGCTACACATGAGCACAAGAAGGCCAGTGATGGACAGCTCTGTGGGGCACAAACACACGGCTGGTGTAGCAAGTCATGAGTGCAGGAAGGCCATAGGGACTTACCAGAATGACTTACAACCTTCCCTGCTGACTTCTGTATTGACTTTCCTTATGGGCATTGACCGATTGCAAATAGTAATCATGCAGTTGCCGGGTGTTGCAACTGTGATAAGTGCAAACTGGCTGCCAAGTGCCCAAATCGCAATCACATGTCCATGGTGGCACTGCAGCAGTTGGAATTTTGAGGGCTGGTCATCAGTATCACTCGTTCAAGGCTGTCACAACTTCACAACGAGTGGTCAGTAAGTGAGGGCTACCTCTATTCCCTGGTGGGACTCCCTGAGGAGGCTAAAAAAACATGGCAAATAACTTTGTTCCCATCTCAATCTCAAGAGCTATGATAGGCTTGCTTGGCAAGAATAGAAAAGCATGACTAGTTGCCAGTGAATAGCGGTTGCCTGGAATTGACAGTCTAGGTTCCCTACATCAGCAGTATTAAAAAGAATCAGATGACAGTTTACCCTTTTTCCATATTTTAAAATAAGGGAAAGTTCCAAGGAGAGATGAGAAGAAAAAGAGAAACCCAACTTTGTCAGGTTCTGGGTATTAACATCTGTGTCCCCAGTGAGGCAAGCTGAGAAACTAAGAGGTAATCAAACAATTCCATCACCAACAATACCATGACAAAATCTGGGTATTCTAGCTAGATTTTGCCAGGGCAGAATCACTAATAGCAGATACAATCTGACTTCTGTTTATCTTTCCCAAATCAAATATCCATTAAAACACACCTGGAAAGAAGCCATCATATTAAAAATAGCTTATGATGAGTGCAATTGAGTTTTTAAAAAAACATGTTTTGAAATGTTACACTTAAAAACCCTGCTCTGGAGATGCTGACATGTCAGAGAACAAAGGTAGAATAATTCTCACACAGAGATAGATATTGCAATGGAAATGTATTATGTAACTACATACCTGTGTCTTTCTGTGTGTATCAGCCAGTATTCATAAACATCCGTATAACTAAGTGGAAGATGCATATAAAACCTTCATCAGTCCTAAATATAATTTACTGTCCTTTCCCATGAAATAGGAAAGCAGGGAGAAGTCAACTAACTTTCCATGGTAAACAACAGAATTTTAGGAAACCTAATTTGAGAGTATCTGGCACACATTAATGGTGTTACATTACATGCTTGCATGCTTAGAGGCAATAGATTTTGAGGCCAGCATCCAAATAGAGCAAAAATCCAATCCTAATCAAAATTCCAAAATAGTTTTCCAAATCTACAAAGGGCTGCTAATAATACATTTTTTAATATGCTTTATTAAATAAACCACAGAAGAGAAATAAATGAAAGTTTCCTTAAGGAATACATTAAGGAGGGGAGATGTTTTATTGTTCCTTTATCCAATTCCCTCCTTTCATTATTCTTGAGTCTTTAAAACCCTAGCAGCAGTTCGATGACCTTTCACAGCTACCGGTAATCTTTAAGGAAATATTGCCTCTGTAAGCTTGGAATGGTATGAACGTTTTATTACTTCCTCAGGTCATGGCAGTTGCAGGTCTGGATGCCACAAAAGTGCATAGACATTCTCCGAGTCGCTCAACACGTTCCTGGGCTACACCACCCAACCGGGACCGCTCTCTTTATTATACACCTCTTATCCAAGTTGATCAACCTGATTCTACAGAATATATGAATGGTAGCCTGCCATCTTTGCATAGGAGCTCCTGGTATACCGATGACCCTGATATTGCATATCGGACATTTACACCAGCTAATTTGACTGTACCAAGTGACTTTAGGCATAAGTATAGTGACAAACAGAGAAGCGCCGACAGTTTGGTAGAAGCGGTAAGTGTTTCAAACCTTTGTTTTGAGCTGGTCATGAAATAAACCTCTGAAAATGGAGTATTATCTGACATTACAAATACTTTGTTTTATCGTATTACGTTATGAGAAATGTATATTCACAATAAAATATACTTTACATGATAAAATTATGCTGTTATTTTTCTTATATTCTAGAGATTAAGATAGCATCATTTACCCAGATACCTTAGATCTGAATTTGTTTTTTCTATTAACCCAAAGAGAATGCTTTAATATTCTACTGAACATAAGATGCCTGAATACTATACAATATATATATAAGCATTAAATAAGATCCCATGACGTTTGTGCATTTTGATAATAATTTTTTTCCAGTCCTCAGGTTTCAAAATAGAAAGACATTATCTGTAAGTAAGCAAATGACTGCTATTGGCAATTCTGCAAGTCCTAGTTGACCGCAGTCATTTGAATGAAAGGAGCATTCTGGCAATTTATCTGTGAAAATAGCAGATGTACTTTCTTGACTACTAAATGTGTAGTCAAGAAATTGGATGTGGGAGAGCCAGGTCAAAGGTTCAAAGCAAGCTTTGATACATTCTACACATGCATGAACACCTGTTTCCATGTATCAATAACCTTTGGTTCTAGGTCAAGTAAAAAACAGATCAATAGTATCAAATTCCTTGCTAGATTATAAAAAAGCAAAACAGAGTTGGAAAATATTGTAGGCTTCTAAGAAGCTTTAATCTAATAACCACTCTAGTTGCCTTCTTTTGAGAATCTCTTCAGCCATAGACCAAGGCAGTGGTTCTCAACCTGTGGGTCGGGACCCCATTTGGGGTCGATCGACCATTTCATGGGGGTCGCCAAGCAAGGCTGTCCGCCATTTTTTTGGTCCATTTTTTCCCCCTTTTCCGGCGAGTGCCTTACCTCCCTTGGGCTGGGCCAGCTGGTGGTCGGCCTGCTCCGTCTCTGCCGCTTGCCAGCTACCCCTCGGCCGGCGCAGGGGGCGGAACCACGCATGCACGGCGCTCCCGGGCAGGGAAAGTCCTCGACTTACGACCGGTTGGGTAGTCCTCGACTTATGACTGGTTTAGTCCTCGACTTATGACCGGTTTAGTCCTCAACATACGACCGGTTGAGGTCGCGGCATTAAAAAGGTTGAGAACCACTGGACCAAGGCTTGCTGTATAAGCGTCTGCTGTTCTGCACTGTTGCTTTTGATAACATAATGCCAACACAATGTTTATGCTGTTACCTTTTCAGGTGCTTATATCTGAAGGATTAGGACACTATGCAAGGGACCCAAAGTTTGTTTCTGCAACAAAACATGAGATTGCAGATGCCTGTGATATGACTATTGACGAGATGGAAAGTGCTGCAAGCCACCTTCTCAATGGAGACATTAGCAATGGAACTAATGGTGACATGTTCCCTATTTTAAATAGACAAGATTACGAACTTCAAGAATTTGGTCCTGGCTTTAGTGATGAAGAGCCAGATACTGGAAAATATGAAGAAGACTTATCTGATGAAATGATATGCATTACAACCTTATAGTATTTAGTGAGAAAAAAAAAGTTTGATTTTAAACAAACAGAAGTGCCTCCTAGTTCTATGATGCTAGGCACTAGTTGGAATCAATAAGGAATCGAGCTTTGCATGAGTGATGTTATTGTCACGTTGTGAGGAAGCCATACTTTTATTTATTAGTACGTGTTTCCAGTATAATGAATCAGGATTCGAATGATTTCTTCAAGGCCTTTGCTACAGAATCGCGGGCGCATCAGGGAACGAAGGCATATCTTTAGAACCAAGAAGATTTTAACCCGTTTGTGTTAAAACAAAAACAGAGAAAGTGGAAAGATTGCTGTCTTCCAATTGTGTTCTGCTGCCTTCTAGAGTGTTCACAATTCTCAGTGGAAAAAAGATTGGCACTTTTAAAGAGGTCTTCAGAAGGCTGTGGTGATGACAATCAAATATGTCATTACCTCTGATCACAAAGCATATCAGAAATCCACTGCATTCAGCATACCCATTCAGATATATTATTTAAAATTAGCTTATTTTTTAAAAAAGCTCCTTAATACATTTTACCAAACTCTTTTTGCAAGAGATTGTTTCATCTGCTGCTGAAAGCGTTTTTCTCATATGTAACAGCAGTTTACATAGTAAAATATCATTAAAAATAGTCTGTTTTATGACTATCATATCAAGGGCAAAATACACTGGAATATTTGCATTTTTACTAATGCACTTGCAACCAGGTTAAAGTAGAACTAGATAGGACAGTTTGTTAAAAACTATATAGCAGAGATTATTGTAAATAAATTCTAATCTACCATAATTTGTATTTGTAAAGAGATGTTCTATATTTTGTAATTATTGTACCGTAATTGAACCGCAGCAATATTTATGGAGCCTCATTATTGCAATTCTTCACTGAATTCTAAATAGAAGTATTTTTACTTGGACTGTATAGCACTATAGAATTAAATATTTAAATAGAGCCACCTTCATTATAAAATGTTTTTGAAGTAAAGATTTTAAAAAACTTGATGCAACAGAGATTTTATAAAATATTTTGAGTCAATTGGATTCTCACTTTACAATGTTAAGACATAGAAAATGAATAATTATAATCTTGTATTTGGAAAGCTATTTGGAATCTACTGTCTTTTTGAGAGAAAAAAACTGGATTTATTTCTACAACTCTTGCAATAACAGCTAGAAACAAGAATAATACGAAAAGCTATCAGTTTGGTAAGGTTTTTTTTAATTTTGAAATAAACACAAATTGAAGTTCCAATCCTACACCATTTTCCTAATAAAAAGCTCCATTGTATAAAATGGTTTTTTTTTTAATGAAGATGCATAGGATTGAACCACCATGAGCATTCTATTTGGTAGAGATTTCCTACATAGATACAATTTACAAAATGGATAGTTAACAAGTTACACAGCTTGAAGTGGAGTGTTTTGATGATGATGATGATGATGATGATGATGATGATGATGATGATGATGATGATGATGATGATGATGATGATGATGATTTACATAACCAAAACATCCCTAAATTGTTGAGAAAATGGCATGGTTGACAAACTTTTTGATGTTCTATATGTAATGTTTTCAGGATTTGTTTTTATGCAATCAAAGGAGGGCTTCAATGTTGTTTGTGATGCAGTAAAATCCCGACACTGAAAATAATATGATTTTGGAGACCAATAAATATCAAAAGTTTATTTTATTAACATTGGATAAATGGACTTGTCCTGCCAAGCAACTTTATCAGGGTTATCTGTATTAACAAAATAGGTAGCAGTTGTCACATTTCAAAACCGTGACATACACAGCTAAGATTAATATAAACATTTTTGTACACAGTGGCAATTTGCTATGGATACCTTACAAACCTCTTCTTTCAAATATCAGGAGAGAATTTAAAGGTTTGTACATTATTTCTTGACCTACATCATTTTGTATGAAAATAAATGCAAAATGTTACTGAGAATAAAATTGTGTAATAATGTTATTATAATTTGTCTCTTCTTACCAACAAATGCAATTCTAAAGATTGGAGATTTCTTTTTGCCCCATAGTTCTGTGTCTGAACCATGGGTTTCTACAGGTTTTGCTTCTTTCTTCCCTAGTCACTGATTTCCATGACACAACAGGGAGCAGTCATCTAAGAAAGTGGGAAACACCCCTACGTTCACAACCTGAATTTGGAAGAGTGACATCATGGCAACAGGAAACATACTCTAAGGCAGGGGTGTCAAACTGCCGGCCCGCGAGCCGGATGCGTCATGCTGAAACCACGCCCACTCCATTGCCGGCAATGGAAAAAAAGTCACGCTATGTCACGACACGTCACATAACGTTGCAAGTTTGACACCCCTGCTCTAAGGTTTGTGATCCAAGTGAGGTTTTCAGAATAATGAGCAATGAAGTGGGTGCTGCTGCTTTTGAACTATTGTTGTCGGTATTGGATATGTTGATGGAAGATTAGAACCATGAAACTGCACATCAGATGGGAGACATGACGCAGGGGAATTCAGCTGGGGCCTGGTTGCAATGGCTGTCATGGCTAGGTAACAAAAGGAGCTGTTGTCAGAGCCTGGCTTGTGGGCCATGGCTGCCAGAATTGATAGCCAAAAAATGTTGCTGCTTCAATGAAAGCTGGTCTGAAAATCTCACTAGTGAATCTCGGCAATGTACAGGGTGAAGGTGGAGGTTTATTCTCCAAGCTTGTGGGTTGGTTTCTGAATGTTTCATTACCAGGCTAGGTAACATCTTCAGCGGAATTTAAGGGATGTCAAAATCAGTGTTCTTCTGTTTAGAAGGGCTTTATGCCGTCAGTAAATCTTGTGTTGGTGAGGTCACGTCAGGTCAGGGTCTTGTGATGGGTCTTGTGTGGGTCACCAGTGAGAATCTTGTGATGGGGAGATTACATCAGGTGAGGGCCATTGGGAGGTGAACTGGTGTGGGGGGGGCTTGTGTGGGTTGGTTGAGGGTTGGTGCTATCTCTGGTTGGTTGATTTGAATTCTGTGCAGTTGATTTGAATTCTGAGATGTTCGTAGGCTGGTTGTAGGTCGAGGTGTCTGTTGATGGAATGTACAGGGTTCTAGCAAGCCATAGAAGGGCCAGCAACAGCGAGAAGTTTTGCTCTATCAAAGCTGTTGAAGCCCTTGGGGACTATGTGACAGGAGTTACCCTGGATGAGAAGCAGGGAATGACTGACAATATCCCCTTTCCCCAGAGTGAAATTGGGATTGATCCTCTAAAGTCTCCTGTCAGAGTGGGGTAGAAACTGGGCCACGTAAAATTGGAAGGAATAGAGAAGGGAGAATGGGAACTTGACTGAGAACAAAGTTAGGCAGATTATTGCCAATTGGGGAGTGTGGCAGAGTTAAGCGCTAAGACAATGTCTGTAGTTGGCTGAAAGGCAGTGAAGATGGCATGTAAGCAACTTGAGGGGAATGGAAAAAGGGAATAGTAGTGTCAGGTCAAGTCAAGAAGCTGTGATAGTGGTGTTGGGCAAACCATTAGGAAAGGGAGAGAGGGAGTTTCATCCTTGGGTCTTGCCATTCAAATTCTGATGGTGGATGAACAAACCAGCTGGTGTATATTACTGAAACCTGGCTGGGTGAAGGCACAGATACTGCCCTTTTAGAGACAGTCTCTCCAAGATTCTGAGTTCTCCACTATTCATGATCCTAAGGAAAGAGGAGGATGGTTGTGATCCTCGTGGAAATCTTGATGGCAATCAAGGGCACTTTAAGGTGATATGTTCCAGATACCATATCTGTGTGGAGTTCAGGCTGTAGGAACCAGTAGGGGATAATGCTTATATATTATCTCTTGCCAGGTTGCATGGCTAATCTTTTCTTGAAATTGCAGAGTTGGATTTGGAAGCCTCTCAGCTGTTTATGCTGGAGTATTTCAACCTTCATGCCTCTATTGGCTCAGGACAACCATGAACTTTTCTTAAATAATATTTGCCCTGAAGCATGTAGGTGGTTGCATATTAAAATTCTTCAGTCTCTGTCCACCTATTCCATCTTATCATCCCATCTTATTGATCTTTCTTTTCTGGAGGCCTAGGTATACAAAAATGTAGTTTAGAAGTTCCTATAATACAACTCATTGATTAGTTTAACCTTTTTTATGCCTGAGTTAGTTCACAACTAAATCCATCTCCTATGGGTTAGCTGATCGGCCATTTTTTAATGGAACACTTGCCAGAAATCGTTCTGTGGATTAAAGTCAACTCCCCCTTGTTTTCAATTAAGGATGCAAATAATCTTGCTTAATGAGACCAATTCAGTGCAAGGCCTTTATTATTCTCTTAATGTATTTAAACAATAAGGTAAGACAAAATAAATCATAGCATTGCCTATAGAAAAAGAGAGCAAAAAAAAAACCCCGAGGCTAAACATAATTATATTAAAATTTGCATATTTCAGAAATAAAATATTTTTGCAAAGCACAAGCAAGATAATTTAATCATGATTATTTCTACTAAAAGCACGGCATCACTTCAGCAGGACTTTCATTCTTTTCTATTCTTTAGTGACCAATTGAAAAAAAATGTCTCAAATGTACAAGATACAGAATATAGGTCAAAGAGGTCTAACCTGAACATAATTCTGCTTCAGTTATTTAGAATAATCCAAGAAAACTATCCTGAATAAAATTCAGCTACAAAATGGTGTCAGTGTGGCAATTTTATTTCATTCTGAGATTAAATGCTGCCTTGTGTACTAGAAAAAATATGTTGCTATTTTCTCTTTACCTTTAGACCGGATGTGGAAAATAGGCAAAATGATAAATATACTAGCCCATCTATTTGTTATTACATAGAATCAAAAGCCATAAACTACATTCTATTTTTGTTATTTTTCCTTCCACTGTTTTGTAGGACTATGCAATATCTGACTTCTGTTTTATGGTAAAAATTTACTGCACATACTATCAAATGTCTATTTATAATAATTATGTGGTTAATCAGATGTTTTAGTAATCTATTATTAACAAATACTAACTGAAGTAA